TATAGCGTGGGAACACAGCTTCACGGATAATACGATTCTTTCAATAATTAAATAATTGCAGTGAAGAATATATCAACTCTCTGTAGGTACTTCTGTAAACACACGTGTCAAAGCATTTTTCTTAAGTTCATTTGTTCAGTTATTATTTATGTTGTATATTTTACTGTATTTAAATATAAACTATATAAATGTACTATACATACTATGCAACTACATACATACTATACGTGTGATGTAAATATACATACATGTTCATGTAAAAGCAATTTGAACAAAAGTCTTCATGTCGAAGGAATTTTAAATGAAGATTAGTTGATGTGTCTTTTTAATATAATATTAACAAACTACTAACTAAAATACAATGCTAAGAAGATCGTGAAAAAAGTCATATTTGATGAGTAACATATGAAGACATCACATGTGTGGTCATATCATTTTAATGCAATTCTGACAAACTACTAACTGAAGTGCATCAGTAATGAACTACTAACTAGAAAAGAGTGCTAACAGACTACTAATTAAAATAGAATAGTAACAAGAGCAAGAAAAAAGTCATACTTGACGAGTAACATATGGAGACATCACATATGTGATCATATCACTTTAATGCAGGCCTGACAAACTATTAACTGAAGTGCATCAGTAATGAACTACTAACTAGAAAAGAGTGCTAACAGACTACTAATTAAAATAGAATAGTAACAAGAGCAAGAAAAAAGTCATACTTGACGAGTAACATATGGAGACATCACATATGTGATCATATCACTTTAATGCAATTCTGACAAACTACTAATTGAAGTGCATCGGCAATAAACTACTAACTAGAAAAGAGTGCTAACAGACTGCTAACTAAAATAGAATAGTAGCAAGACCAAGAAAAAAGTCATATTTGACGAGTCACATATGGAGACATCACATAGGTGGTCATATCACTTTAATGCAATTCTGATAAACTACTAACTGAAGAACATTAGTAATAAACTACTAACTAGAAAAGAGTGCTAACAGACTGCTAACTAAAATACAATACCAACGAAACCATGAAAAAAATAATATATTAACGAATAATATATGAACACATATGTGTCCTATCTTTCCAACACAACAGTAACTACTAACTAAAATACCACAAACTAACTAATGTGCTAACAAACTAAAGTGCTAACACGTCCAAAATACAAACAAACAATTAACAAAAACACAATACAAATTCAATAAGAAATATTTGAACAGCAAGATCGATAAATCTTTGGAGGCTCGATTGAATGTACATCCCTAAAGTAACTTCGTGACCCTTTTTTTCCTTGGTCTCGTCAAGAGAGCGAAAAAGAGACTAGCCTCTGAATGAATGTACTCGAGAATCAGAGAATCCCTTTCTCTTTTTCCTACAGCCGCGGGCTGAAATCTTACACGCCACTAATTGCTACCATTGTCTCTGATGGGAAAGAGCGAAGTACCGCTACCAACCTGCAACCACCTCTACATTTCTCGCTAAATCTTATCCTACTCGTCCATCTGTGCCTCTTCTCTCTGCCAAAAAATCTCGGTTACTTGCTTGCAACAGGAATATCCCGGTTTAATCGAAAAACACTGCATTCAATTATTTCGGGCCTCTGATTTTACGTGGAGGTTCGGGTTCCATTTTGTTCTGGTTAGGTTAGGTTCTGGCGATTGAGTGTGGACGTTCGGTGTCTACGGATTTATTTATTTATGAGCGATTTTGAAATTATTTTGGAGGATGCAGTCTGTTCATTAATAGATTCATGAATAAATTTATTTATATTCAATTTCATGGAATAAGGAACAAAGGAAATTGTGGTAACAATAGATAAAAATAAAAATTGATATTCTTCGAACATCCTGTATACTAATAAAATATATACATTTTACTGAAACATGATATGTACAAAATTTTACAAATGTATCACTGGCAAATATTTAACCACAAATATTAAAAATAAATTAAACTACCACTGAAAACAGCAAACGAATGTTTAATAAACTTGTTGCATTTCATAAATGTCTGATGGAATTTTTACTGAATAAAAGATACCCTCAGAAGATAAATTAAATTTCCAGAATATTTATATGTTTACCTATTTATTGCAAGCTTTATTATGTAGTTTCAACAGTCTATTAAATATGTAAAAAACGAAAGTATATTTCTTAAGGTAACAGACACGATTTTGCACATTCAACAAGAAAATAATGGCGGTACCGTTAAATATTACTCCTACATTCTGAAGTCTTAAGCTTCCCACAAAGGCGTATTTCATTTTCGTGAATTAATACACAGGACATTTCATCTTTTAAATACAATGGCAATGCTAAGAATGGTGTACACGACTGAAATATCATTAAGCTACCTGTAGAAGTAATAAGAAACGTCACAAGAACCTTTCTCTTTCACTAGTACCACTTGTTTTTCTGTACTTTCTTTTTAACGTGGTACAACTATTGTTCTTTACTTTTTCATTTCGCGTTTTTCTTTAACAGGGGTTCTATGGTCGGGCCCTTCATTCATCATCTACTGCCATTTTAACGTTGCACAATATACACGGTTTTAATTTAAGTATTTGGAAAGTTGGGGATCTGAAGTGGTTTGGAGTCTAGAGACTTTAGAGTAAAACTTTCAAGTATTTAGGATTTCGAGATTTGGGGATTTGAGGATTTGGGGAATGGAAATTTGAGGATTTGAGGAATTTTTGAAATTTTGGGAATTTGGGGAATTGGGGGAATTTGGGGTATTTTAGAAATTTTAGGAATTTTAGGAGTTTTGGGAATTTTGGAAATTTTGGGAATTTGGGGAATTTGGGGATTTTGGGGAATTTGGGGAATTGGAGGAATTTTGGGAATTTTGGGAATTTTGGGAATTTTGGGAATTTTAGGAATTTTGGGAATTTTGGGAATGGGGGGGAGTTTGGAGAATTTTGGGAATGGGGGAATTTTGGAAATTTTGGAAATTTTAGAAATTTTAGAAATTTGAGGAATTTGAGGAATTTATGAAATTTGAGAAATTTGGGGGATTTGGGGAATTTTAGAAATATTAAGAATTTGAAGAATTATAGGAATTTTAGAAATTTTGTAAATTTTGCGAATTTTTGGAATTTTGTGAATTTTGTGAATTTTAGGAATTGAAGGAATTTGAAGAATTTTAGAAAAAATTAGTAAAATTAAAAATATTAGGAATTTGAAGAATTATAGCAATTTTAGAAACTTCGTGAATTTTGTGAATTTTACAAATTTGATAAATATTAAAAATATTAGGAATTTGAAAAGTTATAAAAATTTAAAAAATGTTAAAATTTTATGAATTTCATAAATTTGATAAATATTAAAAATATTAGGAATTTGAAAAATTATAAAAATGTAAAAAATGTTAAAATTTTAGGAATTTTATGAATTTGATAAATATTAAAAATATTAAAAATTTGAAGAATTATAGGAATTTTAGAAATTTTTGAATTGTAGGAATTTTAAATATGTTACATATGAATATCCAAGTTAGACAGCATATAACTATAATACTTAAAAAGCGAATTGCTTCACCGAAGGGGTACCATCCGGATTGCTGATGTTCGTTGAATGCCCGTCGAAGTATCTGAGCAAAGTTCAGCGACTCTGCTGGCTTGGCCTATTTTTTCAGATACACGTTGGGGTGTGCTTTCTTCCCACCCTTGCTCTACGCCTAACCCTAACCGCCCCGTTGTACCTCCTCCTTTTTTTTTTTGAAAGAAGCTGAGTGCATGACTACATCTAACCTAAGCCACACGTACTTTGTGTCAAAACGTCTGAGATAAAAGTGGGAGCATTACCCTGTGCGCGGAAAATGGACGACCCTTGCGTCCATCTTTCTTAGACACTGCGTTTATCACTAAATAAAATAGATACGTGTCTTGTGTAGGAATGAAGATGAATGTAAAGGATCGCATAAAATTTATTTATTCGTTTTGGACAAATTTGAGAAATTTAGATATTTAGGATTTTGGGGGATTTTGGGATTTTTGGGATTTTTGGAATTTTTGGGATTTTGGGGGTTTTGGGGATTTCTGGGATTTTTGGGATTTTTGGGATTCTTGGAATTTTTAGGATTTTTGAGATTTCTAGGTTTTTTGGGATTTTGGGGATTTTTGGGATTTTTGGGATTTTTGGGGTTTTGGGGTTTTGGGATTTTAGAATTTTGGGATTTTAGGATTGGGGATTTGGGAATTCGGAAATTTGGGATTTTGGAATTTTGAAATTTTGGGGTTTAGTATTTGGGGATTTGGGGATTTGGGAATTTGGGGATATGGCACTTATGGAAATTGGGGATTTGGGAATTTGGGGATTTGAGAGATTGGTGATTTGAGAAATTGGGAATTTGAGAATTTGGGGATTTCAGAATTTTGGAAATTTGAGGATTTGGGGTTTTGGAATTTTGGGGTCTTAGCAGTTTGGAAAATTGTAGATATGGCAATTATGGAATTTGGGGATTTTGGAAATTTGGAAATTCGGAGCTATGACAATTATGGAATTTGGGGATTTAGAATTTTGGGATGTTGGAAATTTGGAAATTTGGAGATATGGCAGTTATGGAATTTGTTGATTTGGTATTTTTATATCTGAGAATTCGAGGATTTGAGAATTTGCAAATAATGTAACTTGAAAAATAAACAAAACAATTAAAAAATTTGCTAAATTGAAAATTTGCAAAATATCGCAAAATATAAAAGCCTAAAAAATCAGACAATTATCAAACTCACATATGACACCGCATCGCAAATCCTAAAACCTTGATAATTGATCAAAGGATGCCAACAACATAGAACGAACATGTGGACACAGTCGTCAGCTAGAATAAATATACAGCATAGGTGGCCGTAAGGATGGTTAATCCATAGGTAATGTTGGTTCTGTAACTGTAATCGGATCATGCTCTCCATGGATTTACTCCGTGTGTTTCAGGCTCGGCGGTTTGATTGGATTTGTGGTTGGGCCTGGATTTGGTATTAAGAAGGATGGGTTGGACACTCACCGGTCTTGGGGTTGCTTTGGTCATTGTCGTCGTGGCTGGCGCCGCCCTGGCTCTTTGCAGAAGGTGATTGCACCACCATTTTAACGATCCCATTCATTGCCCACTAAACTATCTCTTGATGACACCATAACTTCCTTTCTGGGTCACTCGATAAAATCATGCACGAAAAATAACCTCCTTATCGAACAGCATGTTTCGATCGAGAACTTTCTTGATGTTTCAGAGTTTTAATTAAAGAGTTTATGAAACGAAGCAAATTGAAGTGCAATACCTTCGGGGTGAAATCTCTTTGATTTTGAACGTCTTATAAACATTCTGTGCTTTATCTTTTTGTGATATTTGTATAATGTTTGTATAAAGGAATTTGTTACGTATTTATTAGTAGACGTAGTTTTGTGACTTTTCATTTAATAATAATTTAATAATAGTGCTTGACAACGCTTGTACTCTTAGTGAATTTGAATGAGTAAATGCAATTTAATTATAATTTAATTAGAGTACTTGACAGCGAGGTTTGTAGAATGAATTAGAGAATTTGTGTGCTAATGCAGCAATTTACGAATGTACATAAATGTAATTTAATAATAACGCTTGATTTAGTAGTAATTTAATAATTAGACTGTATTACGGATATTCTGATTTGTTTGCGAATTGTAGCGGACATTTTGATTGAATCGAACGAGTATAATAAATTAAGTGTCGATTTCGGAATGGTTATTACAACTTGTGCATGTTAACTTCGCCAAGCATGAAATTTTCGCTTGATATGTGTAAGTAGTTTAAATCATTTGTTTATGAAACTGTATTTTGTTAAGTCAAAAGAAATTATTTTAAAAATATAAATTCTGTTTACTATTCTGAAGAATACAAAGTCATGTATTCTATAGTTCTAGGAAAATAAGTTGGTAAAAATCGTGTGTAAACGTAGGGATTCAAACGAGAATATTTCCTTGCCTTCGAGTTCACGTATCGCAGCATTTTCTCGTATTACATAAGAATACACTCGCGAAGACTGGTAAATGCTACACGTGCAACAGGTTAAAGGGTCATTCAGTCACCAATTGTATCAGGAACTTCTTATCTACACTTTTCTGTACATGACTTCATCCTTGTTGCGGTAAAACGAAACGCTAAACACCCCTTCGAGCTAAGAAAATGATACCACGATTCGTGGAGGTATTTGGATGCAACTTGCATCTGATTTTGAAATTCTATTTTTACCCTCTATTTTTACTATTTTTAGTATTTCTACTATTTTTAGTATTTTTACTATTTTTAGTATTTCTACTATTTTTAGTATTTCTACTATTTTTAGTATTTTTACTATTTTTACTATTTTTAATAGTTCCACTAGTTTTACTATTTTTAATAGTTCCACTAGTTTTACTAATTTTACTAGTTTCACTAGTTCTACCATTTATACTATTTCTACTATTTCTACTATTTTTAATAATTCCACTAGTTTTACTCATTTTATTAGTTTTACTAGTTCTACTATTTTTATCATTTCTACTATTTCTACTATTTCTACTATTTTTACTATTTTTACTATTTTTAATAGTTCCACTAGTTTTACTAATTTTATTAGTTTTACTAGTTTTACTATTTTTAATAGTTCCACTAGTTTTACTAGTTTTACTAGATTTACTAGTTTTACTATTTTTAATATGTTTACTGTGTTTACTAATTTTACTATTTTTACTAGGTCCACTAATTATACTATTTTTACTAGGTTCAATACTTTTACTATTTTTACTATTTTACTATTTTAATATTGAATTACTATACTATTGTTCAATTGTCCTATTAAACTATTGTACCATTAATTCAACATTTACTAGTTTTACTAGTTTTACTAGTTTTACTAGTTTTACTAGTTTTACTAGTTTTACTAGTTTTACTAGTTTTACTAGTTTTACTAGTTTTACTAGTTTTACTAGTTTTACTAGTTTTACTAGTTTTACTAGTTTTACTAGTTTTACTATTTTTAATATGTTTACTGTGTTTACTAATTTTACTATTTTTACTAGGTCCACTAATTATACTATTTTTACTAGGTTCAATACTTTTACTATTTTTACTATTTTACTATTTTAATATTGAATTACTATACTATTGTTCAATTGTCCTATTAAACTATTGTACCATTAATTCAACATTTTTACCACTTTTCACCAAACACCCCATTTCAGCAAATTCCTCAACATACGTAGTATCCTAAAAATAATTCATTAAACAAATAATTTTATTGATACCAATAATTACTGGCTTTCTCTTATATCAATAAATAGTAATTTATATCAATTTTTATGAACTTAAATAGACAGTTAAATAAGAAATAATCTATAACCAGTACATTTACCTCACACTTCAAGCATCTCAAATTAGAATTTATAACGCGACTTATCGAGCGTTTCCACCCAATACCATGCCATAAAATAAATATCACTCGACGTTGGCACATAAAAGTTTCAGCAAAAAGATCGTTCTAAGCCCCTTTAACAGCGGATCGGTTAACTGACTGTTAGCTAGGAATGCAGCGAAATTTTATTTTGCCTTTAACACCACGCTTACTAAAATTGATTTTCTCGCTGACCCCTTTGATGAGCGCACATCTCTATTCACTTAATAATAGCATCCCCGCGTGCTTGCGAGCGTGCTATTAGTCTCTCGTTGCTGCAACCTTTCATAAGACCAAATGCATACCTCTCCATTATTTTATCAAAAAATGTGAGCTTCAAGAGAACAGACGATTCTGTTAAGAACTATTCTAGCTTCTGATAAGAATTATTTACTGCTATTAACGTAACAGTCATTTCAGTTGATACTTACTTTGAGTGCCACTTTAACATCTTGGAAGATCAGTCTTCATTAAACCATCCTCCGCTGTAAAATAAAATTAAAAAAATTATTGACATGAATTTTCTTTTGTTTAAATAAAAATGACAGACAATAATGTCATAACAGTGACTGATAGTAAAGTCGTAATATTCAAAACAGAATATTTTAGAGAGTTAGCAAGCATATCAGACCTGAACCATCAGAAGCTTTAAGCCATTAAATTAATGTATCAGTAAATAAAATGAGACAAACTAAATATTTTGGAGAATTAGCAGCTATATCAGATCTGAACCATCAAAAACTGTCAGCCATCAAATTAATGTACCTATAAATAAAATAAGACAAATAAAATATTTTAGAGAATTAGCAGCTATATCAGACCTAAACTTCCAAAAACTTTCAGCCATCAAATTAATGTATCAGTAAATAAAATAAGAGATAAAAGAGTAATTAACAATATAATTAGAAACGACCAAATTCAACGTAATAATCGCATAAAAAAATGAACTTAGGTACTGCATCGGCTGGCAATGGAGTACCAGGAACATTTGGAACGTCTGCGAAGAATGGCGGCAAAGGCTGTCTTGGTTATGGGCACCGCGAGAAGAAAAGGTACACCAGCGATGTTTCGTCGCGTATCAGTTTTATTAACACGTTTCGCAATTTTTCGCAATCTAGGTTGGTCTGGTGAAAGCACAACACCCAACAGCGCAGACAATCCCTGGATTGTGTCGACAACCTGGAAACGCTTCTCAACATCTGCTTCACAGCGACAGCGACCTCAGGCTCGATGCACAAGGAGCTTTTACCAGGTGCGAGTAAAATCAACTCTGATGTTACCTAATTCGTTGAAATTTCATTAAAGCGACGTATAGAGTTAATAAAGTGACGGAGCGACTTTAGAATTATAATGAAACTATACATTTATTAATTATGTATTTTTACAATGTTCTTATGTTCTTCTTTTTAGGGTAGGACTGTTTTAATTAAATGTGGTCTAATTGAGAGTATTATTTAATTAGTTTGTTGCTTTCTAACTCGGAGAACTGTGCGGCCATTTTGTGGAATGGCTAGGTTATTTATTAGGTTAGGTTATTTAAAGCTGAGTGTCACGATCAATACTCTTTGCCAAAATATTTAATCAAATTGTTTTACTGTTCTGAGTTTTTTTTATTATTATAAATATAAAAGTCTCATCCACATATTTTATCCATCATCGTTTTCAGTGAAAACTAACACATGTCTGAGGGATAAAATTTTCACTTGTTCCGTTTGGAAATTGAGCTCGCACGTACAAAAATGACATTTGAATTAATGGTTCGATCGCGATATTACGAGTTAATTTTATATCGATAACGAACAGTGTCAAAGTGTTATGCCGATATTGGCAATTTTGCGACATAGCCCCGATGGCACGACAGTAAGTTCTTTTTTGTAGAACGAGCACTCAGAATAATTGAGTAAAGCCATTAATAGCTTGACTCGAACGCAACTTACGGCGCTAGTAACGGTAGCGTTATTAAAAGCGTTACGTTTTAATGAATTATTGCTTCGAACGAATACCAACTTTTTTATATATTTTTTATTAACGCGCCATTATCGTCATTAAGGAACATTAACAATAAAATACTGAACTGTATGTGAAATTTACGGCATTTAATAACGTATCAGAAACATTTATATCTAGTTTCAACCCTCTGTAACTTATTATAAAATTAGTTAATCTTGTCACCCTAAACCTGTCACCCTATTCTTCCCATTTACTGACTAACAAAATTTCCCAAAAAATTCTGAAACCTCCAAAACCTAGTAGCGAACGTTACACAATTTTTTCAGAATTTGTGCAAAGTGTAAAAAATGAAAAACCACAAAAATTTCAAAAGAGAAATTTAATACGAAGTAATTGCAGTGATCTGGTAGTAAATTAAGCCAAGATCTCGTTTATAGTTAGGAAAAAATTATGAGCAGTTTTTCGGTAAGCACGCGACGTCTAATTATTTAGCTAATCGATACTTAATATGTAACGCGATAGCGGATCAAACACGCCCTGCTTATATTGCTGTAAAACATGCAATTTATACTTCGTGTCGAATCGGTCGACCGATATTGAACTGTATATGCGAAATTAGGAACGAATTTACGGTTCATATGAAGCTAAATTATTAACATGGAACTGTGCGCGTACAGAGCAGTAAAGGCCACCTGTTACGAAATAATCCATGGTCTGGTTTTTAAAATACGCGATTGCACGGTGAAAAATCGCGAATTTAAAAGAAAGAACGAAGCTCTATTTTATGGGAGAAATAGATTTCTCGTAATTGTAAAATTCAGAATGGGGCTGTAATATTTTTCTTAAATTAGATATATGTGACGAACGTCATAGAAAATTTTGTAACATAAATTCTACGCCTTAGAATCCTATTTTTATCTGTTCTCTGTTTAATCGATGTTGTAAGAAATATTTAAGTCTTCTTAAGAGTACCAAAAAATCTTGTTAAATTGTCTTCAAAGTACAAAATAATATAAAGCTATCTTTACAATGTTAAATAAATAAATGAAAACAAAATGTTTGCAGATTCGAGTCCGTGGACCGAGATCTCCAACCTCCTCTGAGTGCCACAACCGGCAGTACAATACCGCCGCAGCCTTTGAGGCCAGCACCCCAACCACGGCCAACGGCTCGACCAAGGCCGACTCCACTTCAGCCATCGAGCACCGTAGACTACCTAAGGATGTCAGAGGCTGGTCCGGGTCCACTAACTCCGCCACCGTCGATACAAAGACCTCAGGTTCCATCGCGATCGACCGGTCCCTCGGTATTCCTCTTCCAGAGTGAGCCTGTGAAAAGCTACGGTCTTCACAAACCGAACGAGCACGCCTTCAGATTCGACGAGAACACGAAGAACGTTCCGGAGAGTATTCAGATGACACCGTACGGGACACAGAATCACATAGACTCGAGGCTGATGTTCGAGATGCAAGAGGAGGAGCGTCGAAAGGAAAACAGATGCAATCCTTACAGACCGTTTGATTCGGAGCCGACCAGGATCAGGTACGGCGTTCACGGTGCACCCATAGCTACCTTGGACGGCAAGGGGGACGAGGAGAACAACACGAGCTACGGCAACTATGATATCGTCCAAAGGAGCCACATCATACGGCAACATGTCCGGAATGACTCGAGAGGATCCCCGAGCAGTTTCGGCATGACGAATTCTTCGAATGCCGCCAGTCAGACCATCATGCAATCGATATACGGGCCCGAGGCACTGTCTCAGATGCTTCAAAGCACTCAGAGTCTCGGCAATGACCTCGATCACAAGAGCAACGATGTGCAGAGCATCGAGATGACTCCCTTTCGAAGTTGCAGCCTTCAGGACGACATCGACTCGTCCTACTTGTTCAGGGAGTCCCAAGGCTTGCAGAAGGTCTCGCAGTACATTCAAAGCCTGCCCGATCTTCCTATCTACGATTCGATGAACGAATTCGCTATGCACCAAGATCAAGAACGAACGCTGTACGACGACACCATTCAGCAATCGATCAACACGATCAAGGTCAACAGCGAGTCGGCCTCCAGCCCCGTGCCGCCGCCACCCGCGCCACCCGATCCTGCTAAAAATGTGCCAAAAAAGAACGAACCAACCACCGGCGAGAGAATATTCAACGCCCTCAGATTGGTTACTTCGCAGAGTTACATCGATGCCTCCGAATTTTACAAGTATGTCACTTTCGTTATCACGTGGTTGATGGATCAAGTCTAAGGGATTGTACTTGATGAAATAGGTCGAGAATGTGAAAGGTTTTGGTATTTCAGACTTTTTGAAGAAAATTGATTTTAGAAATCTACTTTGTGTAGAGGTGAATTTGTCCTAAATTCTTCAACACCTATATTTCCAAATCATAAGATTCACAAGTCCCAAAGTTTCCGGATCCCAACATTGTCAAACTCTCAAATCCCAAAGTGTCCAAATCCTGAGATTCTCAAACGTCCAAATCCCAAAACTCTCCAATCCCAAAATTCTCAAACTCTCAAATCCCAAAGTGTCAAAATTCTAAAATTCACAAACTCTCAAATCCCAAAGTGTCCAAATTCGAAAATTCTCAAACGTCCAAATCCCAAAACTCTCCAATCCCAAAATTCTCAAACTCTCAAATCCCAAAGTGTCCAAACTCTAAAATTCTGAAACCTCCAAATCCCAAAATTCTCCAATCCCAAAATTCTCAAACTCTCAAATCCCAAAGTGTCCAAATCCTAACATTCTCAAATCTCCAAATCCCCAAATCCTCAAATCCCAAATTTATAAATTTCAAAGTGCCCAAACCCCCAAATCCCAACCACCCCAAATTCTTAACCTACCCATAAATTATCGATTTCCTGAAACTCCCTAAAAATAAATTACCAGCAAAGTCGGAGTGTAGTAAGGAAATCAATGCTTAGCTCAACGTACTAATGACATACCTATATTTGTCTTCACCCTTGATCTTCCTCGTTCCAGTTCGGTCCTCTCGTCTGCTCAGCAAGTTCAACGTTTCACTTTCCCCTCGAAGTCTCCATCCCTGGTAGAGGATGGCATCAGCAACCAGCTGCACGAGGAAGTTCAAGATATTTACGCAGAAAATGATTCGGACGTGATGGGTCCTGACGGTTCCAGACGTAGCTCCGATTTGTACAGCCCCGAACTGAATTTAGAAGCCCACAGAACCGCGCAGGAGGTACACACATGCGTTAATTTTATAGAGTATTAATACCGTTAACTAATTAACTACATGTGCAATAGGTGTACAATAGTTTACAAGACCCTCCATCATCGCCGTTATTACTAAAAGGTGTCAATCAAGATACGTACACCTACATAACCGACCCTAGTTTTTCGAGAACCTCAGAGGTACGTGCTGCTAATTGCACGGTCTTAATCGTTGTTTAACGAGTGTTGTTTTCAGGATATCTTAAATAGCATCAAACAGAGGAGGAAGAGTATGGAGAAGTTGAACGGCATCCACGAACTGAACGAGCTCGATGACGCTGACTCGTTGAGGTACTCTATCAATTCTTCATTCGCTGTGACCACAAACATAAAATATTCCATTTCACAGGAAACGAAACAATCAAGAATTCTACGCAGCGCTGGAGGAAATGCAGCTGAAACGAAAGTTATCTCAGGTACAAATCGAGTGTTGTTGCATGCAATGGCTTTATTACCTACCGATGTTTATCTAAACACGATTTCATTTGCAGAGTTTGGAAGATGCTTTCATCACGAACTATAGTATGAACGATCACAATGAGTTCAGTCCTGAAAGTCGTCGGGGACCCACAGGACCTGAACCAGAACCTCCACCGGATGAATCGAACTTGAAGAGAGCGATAAGCTGCGAGAGTGTGTGCTCGGATACGAGCGTCGTATTAAACGACCTGGATGAGACACCTATCGTTGGACATGTTTGCGTCGGTATCGAATGTGATAAATGGGGTGGACGAGGCGGCGACAACGAAGGTGAACTTGCTGTTAGTGTACTCGAGGCTAGAGATCTCGTCACTTCTGATGGTCAACCTGCTCGGGATACTTTTGCTAGGTTTGGCTTCTTTTATTATTAGTCAATAAATTCTGAAATTTCCAAATTTCCTGGGGTTTAAATACACAAATTTCCAAATCGTAAATTCACAAATTTTCAAATGTACAAATTTCCAAATTCCCAAGTTCCCAAATTCCCAAATTCCCAAATCCCAAATTTCCAAATTTTCAAATTTCCAAATTTCCAAATTTCCAAATTTCTAAATTTCCAAATTTCCAAATTTCCAAATTTCCAAATTTCCAAATTTCCAAATTTCCAAATTTCCAAATTTTCAAATTTCCAAATTCCCAAATTTCCCAACTCCCACATTCCCTAATTCCCAAATTTCCCAATTCCCACATTCTCCAATTCCCACGATCCCCAACTCCCACATTCCCTAATTCCCACATTTCCCAATTCCCACATTTCCAAATTCCCACGTTCCCCAATTCCCACATTCCCCAATTCCCACATTCCCCAATTCCCACATTCCCCAATTCCCACATTCCCCAATTCCCACGTTCCCCAATTCCCACATTTCCTAATTCCCACATACCCAAATTTCCCAATTCCCACATTCTCCAATTCCCACGATCCCCAACTCCCACATTCCCCAATTCCCACATTTCCCAATTCCCACATTCCCCAACTCCCACATTCCCTAATTCCCACATTTTCAAATTTCCAAATTTCCAAATTTCCAAATTTCCAAATTTCCAAATTTCCAAATTTCCAAATTTCCAAATTTCCAAATTTCCAAATTTCCAAATTTCCAAATTTCCAAATTTCCAAATTTCCAAATTTCCAAATTTCCAAATTTCCAAATTTCCAAATTTTCAAATTTCCAAATTCCCAAATTTCCCAACTCCCACATTCCCTAATTCCCAAATTTCCCAATTCCCACATTCTCCAATTCCCACGATCCCCAACTCCCACATTCCCCAATTCCCACATTTCCCAATTCCCACGTTCCCCAATTCCCACATTTCCTAATTCCCAAATTTCCCAATTCCCAAATTTCCCAATTCCCACATTCCCCAATTCCCCAATTCCCAAATTTCCAAATCCCCAAATCTTCCCATTTTCCTAAACTTCTCTTTAGAACAATAAAACTATTTTTTCTGTACAGAGTATGCCTGCTACCCGACAGGCAAATGCACGTGAAATGCACTAGACTATACAGAGGAAGTCCTTCGCCTAGTTATCAAGAGAAATTTCCGTTCCATCTCGACGGTGGTCTCACAGGAAGAACTCTTCTTGTGGAAGTAAGTATTGACAAAAAAAAAGATGTACTTCATCAGCGACAATATACAACAAATTTTTAAGGTATTTTCCGACGAGTCCAGCAGAGGTGGCGGTGCATCTCTGATCGGAGAGGCGAGTTTACGCCTTGGAGCTGCGCCAAGGGCAGCAACTACCTGGTTACCTCTAACAACTTCAGTATTGCCAACGCCACGACTAGGGGAATTAATGTTCTCCTTGAGCTACTTGCCAACGGCTGAAAGACTCACCCTGGTTGTCGTAAAAGCTAGAAACCTGAGGGGTGCTGGTTCTGCACCTGGGGACTTTTTTGTTAAGGTAAACGCTGTTATTGTTATTAAGAAAAATATTAAACATAAACAAATGTAACTTTGTAAATTTATCTTGTACAAACGTCTTGTTTTTGGCGCGAAGGTTTATCTGCTGCAACAAGGAAAGAAGATACACAAGAAGAGGACTTCCATAAAGAGGGGAGAGAAGAGTCCGATTTTCAATGAGGCGATAATTTTCAACGTGCCCACTCACATTCTGCAGGTTTGAATAAATAGAGAAATTAGGAGCGAGATGAAATATTTTACTTTCATTTTTGACCTCTTTGCAATTCAAAATTTAAAAACTACAAATTCTTCTGATTAGAAATTTGAAAATTTTTCCTCTTCTTTACATGAAAGATTCTATACTTGTATCACCTAGTGATTTTTCTAGTTAAGATCACTTACCCTGGATCTTCCGCACCGCCATTTTGTCTAAAACCCTCACACAAGAATGACTGACACCAATTCTCGTCTTGCCCCAAATATTTCTACATAAAAAAAATATTAGATTACAATTTTGATGATCAAGCCCCCATTTTTGTTGCAGAACATACAAATAAGATTAACAGTGGCAGAAATAACCGGCGAGCAAGGTACAAGCTCTAAGCCGTACTCTGTCGGGCACGTGATAGTGGGACCGACGTCGACAGTAAGAGCTTCCGATCACTGGAGACAAATGTTAACAGCTCTGAGACGTCCTGTCGCCATGTGGCATCCGCTCAGAAAATAAAGGGACGAAAACGAGGAACACCTGTATCGATCCGAAGTATACGCGGAGAACGGTAGCGTTTTGCACTGTAAAGCCGAGTTTCCACCGAACGATATTTCGAAGATGTCCGATCCGTTGGAAATATTGTAAATTCGTGAATTACAGGGTGCTGACACATTTAAGGCCTCAAGTAAAGGTTTTCTATTTGTGTTACGATTGCTTGTAAGTATCTCCATCAAATGTCCAGCATTCTACGATGTATTTAACCGTTCTCCTCTATACTCTACGACAAACTAGAAAAAACCATGATGCTATCCAAGAAGATTTCGATGGTATAAATCTTAATGTCGTATCCTATTGTACATGTACTAAATGGATATGCATGATATGTTGTTTCACGTAATGTAAGGTTCCAAACGACGGCTCCGTGGCCAAATCAATTTGGTGACTCGAATTCAGCCGCGTTTACATTCGGCAACTTTGCACCGGGTCGATCCGCTAAAAATAGAGTGGGCTACTTTCGATCACCCTTTCAACTTTGTCTGTTTATAACAACTTCCAACAACTGGGTTGATCGAATCACGATTCTGGTCCTCGTGAATTTTAATGAAATATGATAATAAACTTTATAAATTGACAATTATAACAGGTATCGCTTATTAAATAATTAACTGTAATTAGTTTTCGAACTACATAATTAGTTATTTGATACGGCACATTTATTTAATTAAAACTACAGAATGTTTATCATGCAGGATTTATATCATTACAATATACATTATCATGATTTTTATTGAAACTCGAAAGGATCAGAAGCTCTGAAAGGTTAAAAGTCGCAGGATGTAAACGCGACTTAACGAAGAAAGAAACCGAGAATAAAAGAATGAAGAGTAGAAAGAACGGACGTGGAAACAGTCGATACGGATAATAACACGGAGCTGATGTTGATCATTTCAGACTGATGTATCGATATCAAAATCATCTTTAGGCACAAATCGTTCTAGGCTCTAAATGGATCTACATCGTCATTCATATCGTGTGTCCCTCCACAAGGAAGGTTCGAACGAACTTTGTGACGACTACAAGGTTCTACAAGGCTCAAATATTTATATTAATATTTTATATACGGCCGGCGAACGTCAAAGCCAAGGGAGGATAGTAGCTTACCCTTTATTCGTTTTATCGGTTGGAGTTCGATGAAATAAAGGGAAACCGTTAGTTTTCTTTTGCTGTATCCCCGTGAAAATGAACACGTAAGTAGGTGCACGAAACATTAGAGACGTAGCTTAATCGAGCCTTCCTTAGATGTATAGAAAATGCATTGAACACTATCGTGTGTGAGATGTAAGCTAGAAAATGGTGTATACGAGACACCGGTCAGAATATTCTTTTTCGAGAGGAAATCGTTTAATCGTTCGACGATCATTTTATTCACTGACAATCATCGTTTTTGTTTTTGTAACTGAATTCGTTGGTTGAATACCTGGAAACGTGGTTGTTTTTTGTGTATTCTGTGGGGTTGGTTTAATCGTTGATGGAACTAGAGGGACACTAGATTCGAGGGGTGATTTATAGTTAGGGGGGGAGGCTTTTGCAAGTTTTATAGTTGGAAGGTTTGGAAGTTGGGGATTTGGGGATTTGGGGATCCAGGGATTTAAAGAACTAGGGATTTACGGATCTAGAGATTCGGAGATCTAGGGATTTGGAGATTTGAGGATTTAAGATTGTGAAGATTTAAGAATTTGGAAATTTCAGAATTTAGGAAATTGAGAGTTTGGGGAATTGGAGATTTGGGGATTTGGGAATTTGGGAATTCTGAAGTTTGAGAATTTCAAGATTTAGGAATTTGGGAATTTGTGAATTTGTGAATTTGGGAATTTCAAGATTTAACAGTCTAGAAGTTTGGAGACTTGAGAATTTGGGGATTTGGGGATTTGGAAATTTTAAAATTTGAAAATTTGGAAATTTAAAAATTTGAAAATTTGAAAATTTGAAAATTTGAGAATTTGAAAATTCGAAAATTTGAAAATTCGAAAATTCGAAAATTTGAAAATTTGAAAATTCGAAAATTCGAAAATTTGAAAATTCGAAAATTCGAAAATTCGAAAATTTGAAAATTTGAAAATTTGAAAATTTGAAATTATGAAGATTACAAAATTAAAAGATCCTAATCTTCATAATCTAATAAAATAGTAAACTTGAAAATTTCAGAACCAAAATTCCAAAATATAAAAGCTTAAAAATTTCAGTAATTAAAAATAGAAAAATTTGTTTCGAGTATGACGATCTAGAGTCCCTAACTAGTTACGTCAATGATTACCTCGGTGTTCGTCGAACAATCAAACCGCGTTGAATAGCAAGCTACAAGATACAAAAACGATAAAAAACGAGATTTTTAGTAATTCGTCGCGATTAAGGGATTCATTGCGGCGTCGAAGAATTGACGAACGATCGAAGCTCTTTAATTCAGGGTTTTATCGAGATATAAACGTTGTTGTTCCCAATGGACTGTTAATGTTTGTACAGAGTTTATTAACGACATACTTCGACGTGCAGAGCATTCTCTTCGAAACACGAACGATCACTGTCTATTTTTATTTGCGTTCGCTGTCAACCCTTTCTGTCACTGGTGACTCAAATCTAATTTCTTTGAAAAATACAAAAATACAGAAAAATAAAAAAATAGTAAATTGAACGAATTTGAAAAATTTAGCATAATAATTACATGTTAAAAGTTAATTATTATATGTAATAATTAACAATATATTATTATATATTATATTACAATAGATTATTCAATCTTGTTGTACTATAATAATAATAATTATAACTGTGTAATAATTAACAGTATATTATTATATATTTTATTTTCAATATATTATTCAATCTAGTTGTACTATTATTTCATTAACAATACTTGCTAAAAATGTTCACAGTTCTTTTTTATTAATTTACTATTAACTTACTATTTTTTATTTAGTATGAAATTAAATTTGAATCATTAGCGACTACCAAATAATTCTTTCTATCTCAAGTCTTTTCCCTCTCAAATTTTCCTTCACTTCCTTCAATTCATGATTCAATGTATATCTTTTTCACCAGCTTCGTTTCGCCCACTCCGATATCTTCAGCACCTCCTCGTTTCCTTCTGCTTCTTACTCCTTCCTCCTCTTCTGCGACAGTACTTGGCGCACGGCCGAATTATACAATCTTAAAACAATATAGGGTCAATGCAAAACTGCTGCCGATTGTTTGTAAACGCGCGGTAGAGGTTTAGCAAATGGATATCTTGCGTCGACACGATCCTAGAATTTGCTCGGCTGCGATTCCATCGGACGTTCGTGATATACAGTTATTCCGGATGATTGAATATATGCCGCCATTTTGTCGAAACTAGACGTTGCTCAGGAGGAACAAAACCTAAAATACAAAAAATATATTATTACGTTGTTTCAATGGCTCGATGTTTTAATTGGAAGAACAAATCTTTTGCATATTTTGTTTGAAATTGTTAAATGAGATTATAGGTTATGTTACTGAGGTCCTTAATAATTAAAATTGTTTTATATGAAAGTACATGTATGAAGTCAGAGGGTGCAAGATTTGTCTTAAAGTGAATTTTTATATGTTCAAACAAATGTATACTAAATAGTAATTGTTGATTATTAATTTTGTTGTGTTTGATGTAGAAAGAGGAAAATTTAATTTCTTTTCTTTCAAAGCAAGGCAGAACTTAAATTATTTTAGGGCAAAATTATTTAGGTGCAAAATTAGACTTAATGTTAATATAAAGCTTTGAGTACATTTTTTTTGCAAAATATTAATTATTAACAACTAACTATTGTAATTTAATTTTGTTATGAATCAGGAGAAGTAAAATTCAACTCTTTTCATCTATTGCAAAATATCTCTGTAGGGGTAAAAATTACTTGAAGTAAATTTTAATATAATATTCAATATACTCCACATAAAATACATAAAACGCCATTTTCCTTCAAAGTATAGCAAAATCCTTTTTTCAAAAGTGCAAGTGTCCCCCTGACAGCATCCCTAAATGTTTCCACACTGAAATATGAAAAGAATTGTCAAGAAAATCCATAAATTATTAACATTCAATTTTTGTATCGATAAAGAAATTAACAGTAAAAGTTTGAGATACGAAATGAAATAAATAGTAAAAGTTTGAGAAATGAAATTAAATTAATAGTAAAAGTTTGAGAAACGAAATGAAATTAATAGTAAAAGTTTGAGATACGAAATGAAATAAATAGTAAACGTTTGAGAAATGAAATAAATAGTAAAAGTTTGAGAAATGAAACGAATAGTTTCGACAAAAATGGCAAACCTCGTTCTGATTAACGACTAATGGAATCATTGGCGCAAATCAAACGAATTAGATAGCATTTCGGACCTCATAGCCTATTCTATACCTATAAATTTTGTACCTCTTCGTACACGATAAAATTGAACAAAAAAGCTAATCCTTCATATACACGTACACATACCTACGCATAAAACACGTGTATATATATACATATAAATATATATATATATACATACATATACACCTATCTTATATTATAGATACATTACAAAAGAATTTTACACTCTATATTATACATTTTTGTCATAAATTGCCGACTATTCGAATCCATACTTATTAACTTATTCAGGTTTTTTCTATCGCCAACTTACTATGGGACTAATATCGCTGAACTCTCTCATTAACTCCATGAATATATTTGTAAATTACCCATCGTGGACTACATGTATCTCTGCATCGTTTCGTACGGAGTGATCTGCGAGAATCGTCATCGTGTTTCTAAATCGATTTTTTATATCTTCAAGATTTTCATTTGTGACTTTAATCTTCAAACTTTGTCTAGAATTTGCTGGCTAGTTTTTTAAATTTAGAGAATGTACTGAAAGCATGAAAATTTGAGGAAATTATAATTTCTGTGACTCAAAATTTGATGTTAATAGTCTTAATAATTAGATGATTCTTCTGATGAATACATATCGACATATTTTCATTAATTAATACTGTTCTATATGATGTTTTGTAAAGTTTATGACTCTGTCAGGGCTGAATTAACTATTAAAGTAAAAATTTTCTACAACTGAATTTACCATGGACCACTATTATTAATGATTCAATTTTTTAAATCCTAAAGAACTGACACTTCAAAATTCCAAAGTGTTCCAAAAACCTTGATGTTCCAAAGTCCTGCAGTTTCAAAATTTGATATATACTGTGTCCTAATATTTTGAAGGCTCACATTCCTAAAGTCATTAAGTTTGAGAACTCTAGAGTCTGAAATGACCAAATTATTATAGGTCCAAGCTTAAGTGTCAAAGTACCATGGTTTCAAAATTCTAATATCCATTTCAAGCTTCCAAAATTCCAAGGTTCGAAAATTTTAAGGTTCCAAAATTGTAAAGTACCAGGCTCTCAAGTTTCCTAAACTTCCAAGGTCCAAAATTTCACTGTTCCCAAACTCTCAAAGTCCCAAAGTCCCAGAATCCCCTAAACTCCCAAGTCCTAAGGTCCCAAAATCCCCCAAACACCCAAGTCCCAAGGTCCCGAAATTCCCTAAACTTCCTTCCAAAGTCCCAAAGTCCCAAAGTATCAAAATTCCAAACTCCCAAAGTCCCAAACTCCCAAAGTCCCAAAGTCCCAAAGTACCAAACTCTAAGTCCCAAACTCCCAAAGTCCCAAACTCCCAAAGTCCCAAACTCCCAAAGTCCCAAAGTCCCAAAGTCCCAAAGTCCCAAACTCCCAAAGTCCCAAACTCCCAAAATACCCTAAACTCCCAAGTTCCAAGGTCTCAAAATTCCCTAAACTCCCGAGTCCCAAGCTCCCAAAGTCCCAAGCTCCCAAAGTCCCAAGCTTCCAAAGTCCCAAGCTCCCAAAGTCCCAAACTCCCAAAGTCCTAAACTCCCAAAGTCCTAAACTCCTAAAATCCCAAACTCCCAAAGTCCCAAACTCCCAAAGTCCCAAGCTCCCAAAATCCCAAGCTGCCAAAGTCCCAAATTCCCAAAGTCCCAAACTCCCAAAGTCCCAAACTCCCAAAATCCCCTAAACTCCCAAGTTCCAAGGTCCCAAAATTTCCTATACTCCCAAGTCCCAAGCTCCCAAAGTCCCAAACTTCCAAAGTGCCAAACTCCAACATCACAAAATCCAAATCCTCAAAAGTTGAAAAATTCCAATATACCAAAATCAAGTCCCAAAGTATCATTTTCAAACATTTTTAATCACTAAAATTCTTAATTCTGCCCTGACTATCACATCAAACATCGTACTCTTCACCACCTACTTAATATTCTACGCCCCCATAAAATTTCCAGTAATTTCCCACTAACTTCAATCAAATTACGATCCAAATCGACAAAGATCATTTCTCCAGCGCACTCCGTACACGCGAACCGTACGTAGTACGCATGTATGTATAATCTGTATACATGTAAGTCGAATTACCATTTAACACTGTTGTATATCAGCACAAAAAACTAATATCTTTTATTCTTAATACCTAAGCGACGCACACGCGTACGCCCACACACGATCAAACGTGTACGTCTGTGTACGTTCGTGTGCGCGTTTGTTACGGATGCATATACTAAGTTTTACTGTTGAACTGGAAATTACATTAACGTGTAGCGCAGAACGACGACAAGGAGAGAATAATATTTAAAAAGGCGTTTAATAGCTTGCTTCTCGTTTACCAGAATTTAGTTTTATCAGAGGCTAGCTATAGACGAACTTAAAGAGAGAAAGATTGCGAGAGAAGTGTGCGAGAGAGAGATTATTAGAGTACGAGAGATAGGAGAGAATGAGAGAGAATGAAGAGAGAACGCACAGAACGAGAGAAAGGATAGTGCAAAAGATAGCAAGAAAGAGAACTAAGAGAAAAAAGGAAAGAAGAGTGATGATGACAATAATAATGCCAAGCGATTCGTACCGCAATGACACTGTTGATAACCACTGCTATAATAGTTATTTCTATTCCATTATTTTTTACATTTTTAATTTTATTTTATATTTTATATTTTTATTTTATTGTTTGACTATATTAAAAAGTCCTAGACATCCATTTATATTGAATTTAATTTATTTATTGTTAATATTTATTACTAATCAATAGTAGCATATAGAGTGATTTAGAATACAAAATTGTTTAATTTATAAAAGAAAATTAGTTTCAAATTTTATATATTATTTGAACTTTTAATGTTTAGATGTTTAGCACAGGTAGACCTTGTATGATTAAGTACAATGTTAGATTTTGAGTTAAAAAGGTATGAAGGGTACCAACCACCACTTGCCTTCAATTTGGAAATGTTACTTAAACTTGAAGATTTAGAAATTAAACTTAAAAAACAGCTATAATATTGGTACATTTTTAAATTGCAAACATGAACATTCCACTGTGAAATTAACTTGAAATTAATTGTGAACTTAACTTGAAACACTGGACCATTCTTTTTACTACAAAAGCATATTTACAAACAAATGAAATCATTTTTTTCTAAAGACTAATTTCACGACTAAAACTCATACTATCAGCTATTTTTCCTCACAGAATCATTTACTTTCAATTTTATAAAATATACAAATTAACACTACGATTTTATACACAAAAATTGTATCTAACTTAATTTACAGATTAATCACGATTGATTACTTCATATTTATAAAAATTACGATGCCTTATGAGTTATAATCGTGATCAACGTGTGGTTCGAATCGCTACGCGTAGCCGTTGCATGAGTGTATAATTCATACAAAAAAAAATACTATAAAGTTTAAATTGTTTTATATTTTTGTTACGCCTCTCTGTGATATGATAAGGGCACATTCACTTCCCCCTGTATATGCATTGAATCTTTGTATCTTATTGATTAAGGTGAAACTTTTCGAGGAATAACCCTTGCCAAGCCCTTCCTAATTACATTTCGGGATTATGCTCGTACGTACCGTCAAGTTGAATACAAATCAAAATCATACGAGTTTTAAGCGATCGCGAAACTGTCGCGAATTTACTTAAGAAACTTAAGGGAGTTGTTAAAGCGTTTATGTATGTGTGTACTGTCGTACAGGCTGAGTCATTTAAAATCACTATACGAAATAATCTGTAAGGATATTATAGATATCATTAATTTTTAACGATTAGAAATAAAATATTACTTAAAATAGATTTATGTAGATATAGCAACTGAATTTTATCAAATTATACAATTCGGAATTTTTAACACATCTAGAATCATACAATTAATAAAACAAATATACTACATTACTTTTTATCTTTTCTTTCGTAATTAATAACGAAAAAAGTCGTACTTAATAATTAAAAGAGAATAAATTATTTCGTGTAGTTGTTTTAATTGATTCAGTCTATATAGTTTTTTCTAAAGGAACTGTAAACAGTTCAATTCACTGTATGTACATTCTTATTTCTTTATCTCGATGTTACATGTATACTTGAAAGGATAGATTCATCAAATGGAAAAGTTGCAAAAATTTGTCGAGATTTAACGATTGGTTTTCAATAATGGTAACATATCCCTTAAGATAAGGTACGTTCGAGCTTGTGCTTGCGAAAGGTATAACGTGTACTGTTACACATTACATTGTATTATATTACTTGTAAACAGGAAAAGGAATCTTCACGCTAAAAACTGTGAAAAATTATATATTATAAATGAAAATATTAATCGCTAAACACTACTATTAACTATACATGATCATTGTTAATCATGGTTGCGGTTATATTTACACGATTCGTTTACTGAATAAATTCGAAACAAATATATTTGAAGTAACAACTAATGTCTTATCGTAATTGAAACCTTGATATCCTCTGCAAAAATATTTCAAATTCCTTAATTTCTGGTACAATTAATTCAAATGCAATTACTTATATGAGTCATGGCAATTACTAAGTCAAATAGATATTTAAAAATAGTTTAAAATAATTAAACTTTATTTTATAACTCTGCGCAAATTTTTCCCGGTATCTAACAGAACGGAAGGACATCTTGTGGTTGGAGTACGTTGCTACTCGCAGCAAAACCCACCCAAGATACGTGAATATTTTTTACAGAAATCTAATTTTTGCTATAACCTCAAAGAAGAATGAATAGATTTGAATATGCTGATCCACGGCTTTCTCCGAATGAAATTTATATAAGACGTGATACTGGTGTACGCTTATATGATGGCGATGTCAAGGTACAGATTAAGTATTCTACACTGTAAACTGAAACATAACCTCTACCTTTTTTGACAGACAACTTTTGAAGGCGGTGAATTAGTTCTTACAAGCCATAGATTTATATGGGGGAAACCTGGGGATATATCACGTGGACATACCTGTCTCACATTATTTCTTCGTTATGTAGTCTATTTTGTAGAAGAAGTTCCTGGTCCGTTCTCCTTTGGACGTAGCAAGAAAGTTGTCTTACAGCTTTCTGAAGCTCCAATTGGTATGTTTTAATTACATATGATGTTATACATTGTTAATTTTACTGAATTTTATTATTATATTTCATTCGTATAGATAAAATGCCTGGTCCGTTGGATAGTAGCATATACAACTATGTTAAATTATCCTTCAAAGAAGGGTTAGATCCAAATTTTCTTACTCAGTTGTCTGATGCGATATTGAAAATGGCATGGGAAATAACACCTGCTGTACCTTTAAATCAATCTAATACTAATGTGAGAAATAGCGGAGACAATGTTAAACCGCTACCACAAATTAAAACAAGAACTGGTATCATAGGTATCGAAAGGAGTCTTCAAGAACAACAAAAAGCAACAGATGAAAGTATATTACTGGCATTTCAAGATCTAAAGAAGCTTATGCAAATGGCTAAAGACATGGTTGCCATTTCAAAAACAATTTCAGCAAAAATACGGGTGACTTTCGACATATACTTTATAAAATTGGCATTCATAATGAAAGACCATTACAGGAGAGGCAAGGAGATATCACCGAGGATGAAACAGTCAGATTTAAATCTTACTTAATGAGTCTTGGTATTGATGACCCTGTTACCAGAGATGCATATAAGAGTAGCAATGAATATTTCAAACAATTGGCAAAACAACTTGCAGATATTTTAGAAGAACCGATTAAAGTTAATATACTTAACAATCACAGTCAAAGTTTAACCATATAAAATACTCAATATATTTCATTTTTTAGGAAGTTGGAGGAATGATGACATTAACAGATGTTTATTGTCGAGTAAATAGAGCTAGAGGCTTGGAACTTTTGTCGCCAGAAGATTTATTAAATGCCAGTAGACAATTAGCTCCTTTAGATCTACCCATAGTATTAAGAGTATTCGACAGTGGAGTTATGGTTCTTCAGATTCGATCTCACAATGATAATGCCATAGCTGATGTTATAGCTGATTTGGTAAGCATATTATTTAAAGATTTTTATACAACACATAATTCTATCTCTTTATTACAGATAAAAGAAAGAGGCTCTCTAACAGCAGAAGAATTAGCACAGTCAGAAGGTATATCGGTCCTTTTAGCACGTGAAAGGTTACAAGTTACAGAAAAGAAAGGAAAAGCCTGTAGGGATGATACGATTGAAGCTTTAAGATTTTATCCTAATTTATTTTTAGAAGAAGATAATTAACTGCCGGTTCTTTACTGCCATACAAATATAAATATATGTTGAGTTTTAAACAAGCATATTTTTTTCATGATAAAAATCATCATTAAGATTGTATATATTTTATGTGCCTTTACACGTTACATAAAATACAATGTATCGTCCAAAAACTCAAAATATATTTGTTACCTTATTTTGCAGTTCATTTTTCTTTAAATCATGGTTAACTTTTTATAACAACAAAGAATAGTTGTACATTGGACATGTACAAATAAATTTTGTCAAGCGTTGAATTAGAATTGTTAAGATGCACTTATTAAATATTGTACGCAAATAAATTCATGGGAATAACTATAATAAAATCTATATTATTTCTTCTTTGTATTCGTGTATTTTTCTCCACCGCGTATAAAGTATTGAAATGGTCACATATTGCAAACAATTTCTGCAATAAAGTCAAGTACATAAGCGCGAGCAAATTCAATTTTGCATTAAAGTCTACAGGGATATGGTTTTTCGGTGATTATTCCTTTGTGACATGCGCGGGCGGCGCGCAGAAGAAATATACACGATAATGAGTATGCAAAATCGTTAATTACTCACTTTCTGAGCGCAGTCTATAAACTTTTATAATTAAAGAATGATGAGCAATGCATTATTTACATGGTTCAATCATAAAAGTTCATAAATAATGTTCTGGTAATGAGTAATTAATTATTTTGTGTTAGCATTACGATACGTACATGAGCCGTCTATGTCAATTCTATTGCACATGCAAAGTGCAATATTTCGGCACCTTGGCGACGTAGTATGGTTCCTGAGGCATTTAGGAACAAATTTCTATTAGGGTTTAATGCGTTTCGATGCCTAATAAAGTCAGAAAATCAATTTTTGTCGAAATCGGTCGAAAACGGTACAGGTGGCGCCATCTAGCGGCGA